GTCACCCACACCTTCCGCAACCGCAGCATGACTGGAATGGAATTCGTTCATGGCAGAGGAAATGTTCAGTCCATGAACTTCACGGTATTCCAGCATATGAACTCAAACAGTTCTGAGCAACAAGCAACATCATCTGGATACTCGAACCTCCACCAACCGGGTCATGTGCTCAATGGCGACAACTACGAGCATGGGCGTTATCAAACTCGCTTGACTGTCTCTCAGTTATTTGGCCGTTCGGAGGAAACTGAAGTCCCAATTGACCAACTCCGTCCGCAGCAAGACGATATGGAAGGGCTCACTGAGCAGTTCGATCAGCTTGTGCACCAACAATCAGCGGATCGGTCAACTACTCCGCCGTCTGATCACAGAGATCCTCAAGTCGGAACATCGGCCGGAACTTTCGAAGATGATGGACAGGAAACCCACATTGGAATGGGAACTCCCCTCATGAGACTTTCAGCCTTCGAAAAGGAAATGATCAGGAGGAATTCGGCGGCCTCTTCGCCTGATGGTAACTCCATTCAAAGCCGCAAGTCCTCGCCAGTCACGGCTGACAATGATGTGAAATCCGACGTTGGAGTAAGTTCAAGTGGACACACTCTCCAGCCATCCAAGCAAGTATCCGCCGATGCACCAAGTACGTCTGGTCAAACAGGCAAACGGAGAAGAAGGAGGAACCGCTCAAAAAAGTCCTCTAAGACCAACAAATCCTTCGATGCGGATGTGACTATTGGGAATCGATATGATGATTCTCAAAGTAAGTTATTATCTCAATGAAAAACAAAACAAACGTTTTCAGTGTTCAATGGTTTGGATGAGACAATCGCTGATAAGCCGACTGGTGGATTCACCGTCTCCCAAAGCACCTCCAGTAACGAGAACACTCCACTTGGATTCTCGTCTAGGCCTTCAAAGTTTGACCAACTTCAATCCAGCGTCAAGAGAGGGATTCATCCAATGATGATCCCGGAGTTCAAAGGCCAAAGAGCTAACAAGGCATCGGCAGCGTCCTCGTCAAATGGACAATGGGACAGATCTCCTTGCGACCGTGAAGACGATTTGAGTGGAAGTACTTTCCAATCATTGAAGGAAGCACCCATTGATTCTTCGAATGTGTCTGGTCAAGGAGAAAAGCCAAAGAAGAGAAGGAATCGTTCCAGAAACAGAAAGTCTTTCAAAGCCAACCAGTCATTCAGTGCTGACAAGACTGTTGGGAGTTACAAGGATGACTCTCAATGTGAGTTATTGTTTGATCGAGAATCATTTGATGATGAACGTTTTCAGACTCGTATGACTCCATCTCTGATAAACCAACGGAGGGATTCACTGTCTTCCAGAACATGGATTCCCAATTCAAAGGATTGACCAACACCCGGAAATCCACATCTCCAATCCTCAATCTGACAATGGATGACGCTCCAACTGCTTTCGATGTGACTCTTCCAGAACCCAATCTGAACCAGACTTTCGCCGGAATTCTGAAAGTTGGAAGGAAGAACATCCGTCCCAAGTAAGTGAGAATCACCTCGTTTCAACCTAGCACTTTCAATGGTTTTCAATCTTCCAACTGCTATTTCCAGATCCGTCGTGTTCGGAAAGTTCCCGACACCACTCGCAAGATCCGAAACGTTCGCTGAGTTGCATCCGCCCAGAAGCCCATCGGTTCGAGCCGGCTGGAAAAACTCTGCAAAGCTCATCAATCTGGAGGCCATCGAAGTTGAGCTGTATGACGAGTATGTAGGCATCTACAAGGCTCTTACTTGCACCGATAAGATGAGACAAATGCCCGAGATCGTTGTGGACAAGGACACCATCTACTATTGCATTGAGGGTACCGACGAGCTACTTGAACTCCCTCCCACCTTTGAATTCAACTTGTATCCAGTGGAGGAACTCCCATCTGGAATCGTCATGGCCGGACGATACAAGTACATGTTCGATGATGAGAACGATGCACTTGGCAAGCTTCTCAAAACGGTTTGCAAGGCTTCGATGAGAACCCAGTGAGTACCGTCAACCACTATCCAATATTCATTCTATTCTTTTTTAGGTGGACTCAATCCAACCTCCCGGAGATAATGCTGAAGAATAGAGTCACTCGTATTGCTCCTGTGAAAGTGCTGCCAACGGATGATGACTGTCTGGTTCCAGATGAGGAGCTCTCGGCTTCCGATCGTTGTCTTCGCAAGTTTTTCTTGAAGAAGTACAGGAATGAGCCAGCTTCTCCAGGAACTGACATTCCCGATGAGGTTGTCGACCCTTTTAGTCCAATCGACTTGACCAAAGGTCGCAAAATTGCTGAGATGGAAGGGATGCCACATCAAAGGAATGGGTTCTGGCATATGAAGGAGGCCTCTCCAAAGGAGAGAAGTCCAGTCGAGGATCAAAATGATGTTTCTCGCCATAGCAAGCTTCCGGTCATGCTTCCCAAGCGAGTGAAAGTGGGACGTGCCGAATACGCTCTCCCAAAGCCCAGGTAATTAAAACTCGCTTTTAGTTTTGAGTTTGCAATCATTGTTTTCAGAGTCGGTGACCTCCATACTTTCTCACCGGAGTGCATTGCCAACAATGCTCCATCTTCCGAGCCAACTTGCTCCAATGTCCCTTTGGGTGACATGCTCTCAACTCCGACCAAGCTTGCTTCCCCTTCCATGTTCAATCCACTGGCCTCCAGTACTCCACGGAAGGACTCTGACTCGGAGATGAACGGAGGAGTTGTGAGAAGACTCAGGTTAGATTTTTAATTGAAATGTTATTTTCAAACTTTAACTTTTTCAGGGATCCAATGGATGACATCCCTTCTACCAGTGGACCAGCTGTCCAGAGCTCTTCTCGCATGGGTGAGACCCCGAAGATTCGCAAGCCAAAAGACCGTAAACCAAAAGATCACTGGATGTGCAAAGACGGGCTCGAGGACCCACCCTCTTCCGATTAGAGATTCCCCTACTCCCCAATCTCTTCTTTGAGATTTTGTTGATAACCTATTGTGTCCCCTCTCCCTAAATATCATTTCATAATTATGTGTACAGTTTCCAGTAATATGTCCCCGATCTCCTTCCCCACACAGTTTAAAATGACTCTTTCAGTCATTAATCTATAATTCCTCGTTCCTCTTTGTTTCCATTCATGGTATAGTTATTCCGTTTTATATTATATTGACCCCCTCTAAATCTTGTGCCAAAGTCCCCAACCTGCCTAAAAATGGCATTTCTTCCGATCCGACAGTTTTTGTAAGTTAATATCCAGCTCCCAATAAAATGATCTTGTAAAATTCTCATGCCTCAACGATCGAAAAAATCCGCTTTTTCAGATATTGGAATGAGTGAAAAAAATTTGAACTAATTTTCTTGGACATTGCTTGGACACGTCGTAGGAAAAACGTAACCCTGACAACAAAACGGTTATCATTGTTTTTCAAGAGTTGTTCGTTTCAGAAAACTGATCTCATGGCTCAACTCATCCAAACTCTCGATCGTCTGAAAGTAGAAGTCTGGCACAAAGATAGATGTGATTATCCACACATCAATTTGTGCCTGTCCGCAAATAGTAAGAAGAAAAAAGAGAACAGTTGTAATTCTGGATGTTGTGATTCTTTTCGATGGATTTGGCTTTTGATGGACACGAGTGAGTCCATTCTTTTGCGTTGACATTCGAAAAAAAACTTACTATGGCATTCAAAAAAAATATAGAGAGTTTAAAAGGGAATACTTTTCTCACATGCATTAAGAATTTTTTATTAATTGGTGATCTGAATGTTGCTGTCACTGCGAGTGAATTCTAAAATTCCTAGCCTTCACTGGAACCTGAGAGTCTGAAATCTTTTTCTTAAAATCTGTCTCGTCTCTCGATTTTCAATGCAATATCGATATGGCGCCTTTCAGATGAAGATTTCCAGACTTGCAGGCTCCAGTGAGGGCTAGAAATTCCAGAATCTACTCACAGAAGCATCTACTTTCTTACTTTCAAACCACCAATTTAAAGAAAATTCCGAACCCACACGAGAAAGATATTCTTTTGTTAGTAGAAAGGTAACCTAGTTTAGCTATATATGATTCTTTGATATCTTAAAAAGAGCCGCTTAGGATAAAATTTCCAAAATTCGAGAAGATATGGAGAAACAAACCAAAATTTGCGAACTTTCTTACTTCCAGAGAGCAACACGCAGAAATGAAAGGAGTCGTTCAAAAAATTGTGACAAGAACAAGTGAGAACCTCTCCGATCTTCAGCTTACTGTCGAAACCGCTTTACTGTCTGCTCATTGCGAAGAATGTCTTGAAATTCTTTTTGCGAACGTTAAATCTACTGCGCACCTCTCTACTCTTTATCAAATGTTGGGTAAGGAGCTGGAAAAAAACAATGATATTGGGAAAATTCATTGGAAAAATGATAATAATGCTCCATATAGTCAACTATCAAATAAGTTTGATCTTTTATTGGTGAGTCAGCTATAATAACAATGTTTGAAAAGGGCAAGAGGTGTGCACCAATTTTTTTCAATGATACATAACTTATTTTTCAATATGACGATGGACAAAGCAGTGACGGCACTCTCAACACAAACAATAACTGATTCTCCCAATGCTTCAAGCACCGAACGGATATGTTCCGCCTTATCTGGTTTAATCCACCTGTAAAATGTTCACTTGACCTGAAATTTTAAGTTGCTCCATTCATTTCACCATGACTATAATCATTGCATTGAATTTCTCGATATTTACTTATCACCATCATGCTAATTGTAGAAGTGATTTTCTCAGTTCAGAACTTGTCTTCAGAAGTTATTATCTTACCCTCCTATCTCTGAAACTTCTTCCCCACTAACTCCGAACTCGCTTGATGTCTGTGAAGTCTTTGTAGTATTACATAAAAAGTGTTGTTCTTTGTTACTTGCTTTGGAAAATAACATAGTGTTAGAGCTATACCTAAAGTCAATTTGATATAATCGAGATTAGAATTGGAAAAGAATAGAACTATGAAAGATTTTGTGAAAAAGGAATGCCCACAGGCGGGATCGAACCGCCGGCCTTCTGTTTACGAGACAGACGCTCTGCCACTGAGCTATACGGGCTGATAACCGGGTATTGGCAGTTCACCACCTTTAGGAAGGGGAATGCAAAGAAGGAACCTTGACTCGCATAAACATGCATGTAAGGAAAAAGGGAGTGAAAATCTGTTGTTCCGAGAGAGTGAGCATGAGGTACTAATTAGCATGAAGGTACTGGGGAGAAAGGAGGAATATAGGAAACCAAGAGATTTTCTTCTCTCTTAGTGAACGATAGGCTCGAACCGTCCTTATTTTTTTGGGTTGGGTCAATTTTCCACGAGTTTTGCAATTCTTACTGAACGAATAACATGATTCTAAACAAATTGTAGCTCCATGATTCTCGAAAAACTAGTTTGTTTTTGAAAAATAGTTTCATCGTTTTTAGACTTTTTTATTCACAGTTTTTCAATATGAAAAAAAATCTTTGAATAAGAGGTTCAAAAAAGAACATCTCTCAAAGAACAATATTGATGGTGCACAAAAAAAACGGAATGAAAATGAGGACACTGTTTCAACACAAGAGTGAGTAAAATGATGATGTGGTTACAAAAATGTGGAAAAACAGATGAATTGGAAGTTTATTGGTTTGCCCTTCTTTCCATGTCCTCAATCATTCGTTCTATTTGGAGAGCGTATTGATAAACCTCGTCGTTGGAAACATCAGTTCTCGTCTGTTCGCCATCTGGACCAACGACTGCGTAGTACCATGTTCCATCGAGACGAGAGACATAAGCACTGCAGTTGGTCTCTCCTACTAATGGATCATCATCCTCGCTTGTAACTGGCAGCGGTGGTGGCGGTGGAGTGATCGGTCCATCGTTTTTCACGTGAAAGAAAAATGAGTGCTCCTTGAACGAAAGTGTTGCTTTGACTCCATCATGTGGCCGAGTGATCTGATAGTTTTTCAACGGGAAGAGGAATTCAATTGGTGTCAATTCCGCGAATCGTCTATGTGGACATGAGCTGAAGTAATATAATCGATAGACATACCGGAATAGTTGAAAACGTACCAAACAATGTTTCGCTCTGTGTACGTATCCGGTTCAATGTCCAACCCTTGCATAACCTCAGTTTGGTCGAAGCCATTTCCTTCTTGTGACAACTCCAACCAGTACAACTTGGTTGAGGTTGATTGCAACCAGTGTTTTATGAACTTGTTGACGTCTAGGCTGTTGAAGTTGTGACTCAAGAGAATCGCAGTTATCGCGTCAATGTTGCACAAATCTTTTACTGTCATCCATGCTGACTCTCTGAGACAAATGTGGTCGAGAGTGAGAACCTGAAAACAATTTCATGGTGAAATTCAAGAGCATTTCGTAAATAGTTTTGTACTCAAATTTTCCGAAAATCAAATGATTAGCTAGTTTTCATATTGAGCAGATTGCTCGTGTAATGCTTTATCGTGATAACTTATCTTCTCAAATCTCAAATGTGCACTTTTCCCTTTCATATCCTGAGAAAACAATTTTGCTGTTTCTTCATCGAAGAATGTGCCAACATATACATCATTGATATTCAAAGTGGATACAAAGTTTTCAAACTTCTTCTCAAAAGCCTTGAAGTTCTGTTTGTGCATAAGACGTCCGTAGATTGACAATCGACCAACGGTTTCAAATGTTGACAATGTTTCAAGGATAGGATCACAGTTTGCGACTATTCTCATGTCTAGCGAGACCCATTTGATTTGACTGTTCGTGCAGTTGAAAGCCGTTGGCAGGTATTTGAGAACTCCATTTATATCCGAAACACTTGCCTCCTCGTCTGCATGATATCCGTGGCCACTTTTCTTGCTGAATAATGATTCTTATTTAATTAACGGGTGTCAAGACTAACAAATTGAAAATGCGTCCTTCGAACTCAAACTTTCGAGTGTTTTGAAACTCGACTCCTTGAACATCACCAAAAGTGATGACCAGTCTTCTCTTTGGAGCAGTCAACTCAACCAATGAGTTTTTTCCAAAAACTACATTGATTGTTTGAACAGGTACACTAGTCTCCTTGATTTTTTCTCTCATCGAGGGGTTTGAGAAAGATAGTTCCAATCTGCAACTTTGATTTCGACTCACATTCTGAAAAGTTGAAACTTACATATCCAAATACCCCAACTTTCTGTTCATTTCTTCAAGATTCAGGGCGTCCAAAAAACCGATCACACCGTCTGTTTCATCTTCGGAGCTGTCTTTCTCCATTTTTGCGCTGAACCAAATATTTAGTTACTGTCTCGTTCTAATTTTCAGATTCTGACAGTTTTACGGTATTCTAAATGATCACTGATCGGATTCAAAGGAAAGAAACAAAGAGTGAAAATTGATATGCTCAAAACAAATTTGTTGATAGGGAAGAATCGAAAAACACATGATATCATAGACACGAAGGATGAAGAGAATAGCTCGATTTTAATTATCAAGCTAGACATTCAGAAAGGAAATGTGTAGTGAGGCGCAGAGAAGAAAGTTAGTGATGAAAATGCGAAGCAGACGGGAAATGCCATGGAAACAGAATAGACCATAGATTTCATAGTGCAAAAGCAAATGACGAGCTTTATAAAAAGTTCAATCGACAAGAAAACTTTCAACCAAAATATAAGTATATGCATGTGCACATTTAGAAAGAATCGCATGACTTCAATGATGAGGTAGAGATTGAGGAGAGAGGGAGAACAGAACAACTGAATATATGATCTACCGGAAATTGAAAAGGCGTATACCTTCCTATCAGGTTTGGCTGAAGTCTACGTCATAGTCTCACGTGCTCCTTGTGTTAACTCTCATTAAGCTGTTGTTTTGTTCTAAAGCGCTTTATTGTTCGGTTTTTTAATGGTACAACTGAAAATTGACAGTAAAACGGTGAACACTATAGGAAATTCCGTTGAGGATGGAAAACTGGAAAACACCTCGTGAAATTGAAGTATTAGAGAGTCTGAAAAATACTACGCACTGATTTTTAGAGAAACAGCTGAATTTGTTGTTTTTTCTTCTGCAGGTGTAACTAATAGTAGTGATTCAACTACTTCAAGTTCTACAAGCCGTGTTCAGAACCCGTTAATAAATTTAGAGCTTTATTTCGGTTTTTCGAATATATGTTCATCCTAAAACTGACCACCTCATTACTTTTGGTGTCCAATTTTTCAAAGCACGACATACATCTTCGTTTACAGAAAGGGAGTACTCTTTTGGTATCGATCATCTTACTGGTACTGAAAAATTACCTGCTGATGATGACAAGGAAAGTCTGAAGGCGTTCTGGGTCACAAAGCGCAAGTAGCTCTTTTCTGTGTCCTGTCAAATCAACCCTGGCTTTAAACCAGAGCTGTGCGAGATTGTCAATTTGAAAAGCGGAAGCAGGAAGGAAAGAAAATTTATAAAACGGAAGTCGGAAGAAGATATCGAAAATTCGAAAATTTGAAGCTCAAAATCGGCCCAGAAGTACTTTTTTTGTGAAAAATGTAGATTCTTGTTGGGAAACCTTGTGGGGGAAAAGTAGAACAGTAGCCGGAGAGTTAACTTTTTGATGAGCTTCCGACTTCTGCTCAAATTTTATCCTCTAAAACGGATGTCGGAAGCCTTAAGTCGGAATTCCGCACAGCTCTGATTCAAACCCACAAGATGCATCTACCATCAAATAATCAGAGAAGTTCTGCTTCAAATTCTGCCCGCGTTGATGGGAATGAGAAGATCAAATAACAAAGTTGTAGCTTTGGATATACTGATCATGATGTTTAGATTTCAAGAAGAATATGATGTAGATGTTTGAAAAGCAGAGGCGTAATAATGGGGTACAGCTCGAAAAAACAAATTTTCTTCTAGAAAAAATGGCATTTGAAGGAAAAATTCTCCAAAAACAAGAAGAAATGAGAGCAGAACTCGTGATCGGCAGTCATGCGACTTCCCAACGCTTCGAGAGTTGGAGTGAATGACAAAAATATGCCCGAATCTCTTTGAATGGTTAAGGGCGGAGTTTCAACAGAGGCGGAGTTTGAATAGGGGCGGAGCGCAACACAATTTGATAAGATTTTTGAACCAAACAATGAGATAATGTCAAGGCTACAAAATACACCTGGCTACTAAGAATGTATCATTGTGCTTTTTGCTGTATAATAAATGTGGAGTTATTCTATTGAAATTAAGGATTGGTCTAAAATTATTCATGAACAGATATGAAACTATAAATGGGACTTTTTTTCTGAGACAGTGCATAAGGTACAAAACAGTATAGCAATATAAAATCTTATGAAAATTGTTTCAAGGGCAGAAGTGGAAAACGGAAGACTTGTTCAAAAATACCACAAAAATACAAGAACTCAATTATTAGGGATTTGGAAAGCATAGTAAATGAACATAAAGATGTTAGGTACAATAAACATAGAGGAATGCAGTGATATAGGCAACTAGGGCAATGAGGAATCCGAAACGTTTGATATGATCAAATTGCTGACGAAGTTTTCTCTCCTCTTCTGGTTGATTTGTATTTTTTGATTTGTTTTCCGGAGCATCGAGAGTTTCAATGCTTTCTCCAAGGACTGGTTGGCTATCAGATGCTGAAGGCATGTCGATTAAAACACTGTTCTCGGAGGGGGTTTTAGAAGAAGAAGTTGCAGATCCATGGAAGCTACCAAGACCGTCATCATTGAGTGGATTTCCGATTCCAATAGATGTGCTTCCTGAACTATCTCCAAGATCCCAGAAAGAATCGAGAGGCTCAACTGTGAGTAACCTGAAACATATAGTTTTTGTTCTTTGATGATTGGTGTCTTCACATACTCCTGTGGATCGAACGAGATAGCTTTTGGGGCAAACAACCTTTCAATACCAATTTTCTTTGGAAGTTCAGTAAGATCAAATCCAAAGTTGAAAGCGAAGTCCTTAGGGAGTCTCTCCTCAAGAAAGTTTGAATAGGTCACAAATATAAACTGCAGCATGGAGATCAACATATTCATTTTATATAATTGCACTGAAAACATGTTCTTGTAAAATTTTTCGAAATTTGAACATACCGATTTTTGGTGTTGATCCACTACCCGGCGG